AGACATTTTCAAAGCTGCTTTTAAAGGCAATCAATTTTGGTAAAGAATAATTCAAGGTGGATTGTAAATCTGATCAGTTTTACACCCTTAAGGTGAGGAGGTGTTGAGACATAACGATGTAAACGTGTACACTCATCAAGGCTCTATCCACAGGTACAGTTTTGATCCTAATCTCAGCTGAAAGTCCTGAACTACGGAGCTTTCAAGTTTCGGTACAGTACAGTAGGTGCTTTCGATTCCCCAGTAGAAATCTGGGGTGATGGACCAAAAAAAGTGTGTTGTCTCACCTCAACCACTACATACTAAAGTTCAGCCAACACACGGTAATGCACCCTTAGGTGCTTCTCAAGCATAGGTATGGGCTGGCCCTTCCACCAGAATCTAGCAGATGAGAATGGCCTCCCATAACTTCCTAAATAGGGCGGTAGGGAACCACCTGCCAGTCGCTAAGAAGAAATAAGATACTGTTCATTTTTAAAACAACTCCGACGGCGGGTGCTTCCATGCCCTTCCTCAACGGGCTTCCGAGGAAGGGAAGAGTGTTAAAGGTTACCGCGGGGGAACGGTCCCAAAGGTAGGATTTGCCAGAACACTGGCCCGACCGAGAAAGGCAGGGGTGACCTCTTTCGGCCGCCGGGGGCCGGTGGGGTCGGCGAGTGTGAATGACCCCTGTCCGGCGGGCGGACATCGCCACAGTTCCAGGAGCAGCGCGCGCCAGGCAGTTGCCGGGTTTGCGCCCCGGGTGTGACCCGGGGTCTGCTCCCAGACCCACGCCCGGGGTTGAAGGTGCCCTCTGGACCCCTCCCGCTGCCCCACGGGGCCCAAGCTACCTATTAGGACGTCGGGACCGACACCGCTTCCCTCCGCACAGGCCGGACGACAGCTACTCGGATACCACGGCGGTGTCACTCAGGAGAGCGACCTGGCGGAACGTGGGAGAGGGCGCCGGAACCCGGGGGCCTCAGGCGGACGCTCGCCCCCTACCGCCCCCGGCCCCGCCAGCCGCACCCACTAGCAACGTGCTCGCGACTGCCGGGGCCCGCTCGCCGCTGCCCTTTGCACGCCGCCGCGCGCGGCACGACGGGAATCGTAGTTCCGGCACGGAGGACGTGCGTCCACCCACGCTCCGTCAGAGCGGCGACACGTGATCCGCGCACTCCCCGGAAATTACGTAACAAGACATGCGTGGCGCCGGGCCGCTGTTTCCGCAAACAGAATCGTGTATGGCTGTGCTGGTGAGTGTGCGGCTGGAGCTGCGGCCCTTCTTTTCTTTGTGTTTAGTCCCTCGGCCGCCGTTGAGTAGGGGCACTCCAACTCCTAACGTGGGCTCTCTTCGCACTGGCCTTGTGTCTTCAACACCCGTCCCGCGGGGGTTATCGTGCCCTCAGCCCGAAGCAAAATGGGAACTACTTGGGGTGGGCGGGCGCTGATGCTCTTCCAGAGCGAGCGAGCCTGGGTGGGAGAAGAAGCCTGAAGAGCTGCTTCAGCTTGCGCCCCAGGGCGCTGAGCAGTGGGCTGGAGACGGGCGTGGGATCCGAAGGTCTGTCCTGAGCGGCGCCTCGGAAACCTGAACTCGAAGTTGAGTAAGGCCGCGCCAGTGACGCAAGGGGGTGAATTTGGCTGAAGAACCCGTTTTTGTCCTCTTGCTTCGTCTTGGGCCCCCGAGTTAACGGTGAAGCTGTTGGGTGGGGTCGTAGAGCTTATCCTGTTTGAGCTGTAGTCTGGCGGCCCTGCACCCCTGCTCGGTTTTACCTCGAGAAACTGAAACGTTGGAGAGACATGGCTTGCTTCAGGGGTGTGACTGGAAAGCCAGGTCTAAGTGTTCATGTGGTCATTTATCGCATATCCGTCTCGATGTGAGGCTGACATCTTTTTAAGCTCCCTCCTCGAGGATTCTGAGGGACAGCTCTCTGACGTTGGAGTGTTTTCATTTTTCCACTTTGAGCTCGGTCCCCCCCCCGAATTTTAAAATTGGTATGTAATGTACATATTTTGGGGGTACATGTGATTTTTTTGATGCATACATACAATGTGTAATGATAAAATCGGGGTAATTGGATGTCCATCACCTCAAACATTTATCTTTATGTTGGGAACATTCCAGTTCTTCTCTTCTAGCTATTTTTAACTATTCAATAAATTATTGTTAACGGTGGCCACCCTACTGTACTATTGAACACCAGATTTTATTCCTTCTATTTAACTGGTTTTTTGTACCCATTAACCAATGTCTTCATCCCTCTACCCTTCCCATCCTCTGGTAACCACCAGTCTACTCTCTATCTTCAATGAGATCCACTTTTTTAGTTTCCACATACGAGTGTGAACATGCCATATTTGTCTTTCTGTGCCTAGCTTATTTCATTTAACATAATGACCTCCAGTTCCATCCATGTTGTTGCAAGTGACACGATTTCATTCTTTTTTGAGGCTGGATAATATTTCATTGTGTATATATACCACATTTTCTTTATCCATTCATTTGTTGATGGACACTTAGGTTGATTCCATATTTTGGTTGTTGTGAATAATGCTGCAATAAACCTGGGAATGAGCTCTCTCTTCAATGTACTGATTTCCTTTCTTTTGGATATATACCCAGTAGTGGGATTGCCGGATCATATGGTAGTTCTGTTTGTAGTTTTTTGAGAAATCTTCATACTGTTTTCCACAGCAGCTGCACTAAATTACATTCCTACTAACAGCGTACAAACATTCTCCCTTTTCTGAATCTTTGCCACCATCTGTTATTTTTTTTTCTTTTTAATAAAAGCTGTTTTAACTGGTATGAGATGGTATCACTGTGGTTTTGATTTGCATTTCCCTGATTAGTGATGTTGAGCCTTTTTTCATATACCCGTTGTCCATTCGTATATCTTCTGTTGAGAAATGTCTTCAGATTTTTTGCTTTTTTTTTTTTTTTTTT